AAGGAAAATTTAATTATACTTTTTCAGTTATTAAGCACTAATCTTTTACATTTAAAGGATGACAATACAGCTTATATTTGTAACATGACAGCACCCACGTTTAAAATATAGTTTTTTGTTTCTTCAATGTTTTAATTAATTACGCGAGTACATAAATATGTTATATTTTGCAAGGAATAAGTAATATACAATAAAATGACATTAGAGGAAGGCTATTAATAGCAACAACAAAAAATATATAAGAGCTATGATAACTAATATTTAACATAAATAAAATACTATCTTATTCAAATAAAATGGAAACTTAATACCTATAGGACATTAAATGTTCAAAATGTCGTCTACTATTTTGTAAATTAAGTTCAAACCGTTCCATAAATGATTGCCTCAAATTTTCAGATACCACATGGCCGATTGCTCACATTTTACCAACATTTCGGGCTCTAAGATCTTCTAAGTTATTTGGTCGTTGCTTGTATATATGATTTTCATGTTACCTCAATATAAATAAGTCACAAGGAGTCAAATTAGGAGACCGAACAGGATGCTTTACTGCTCTTCTATAGCCAATCCATCCATTTGTAAAAATGTCATTTAAATAATTTTTGACCTCTAGTCCAAAGTGTGTGGTGCTTTATCTTGTTGAAACCAAATATTGTCATTAGAATAAAAAAGATTCTATTACCAGAATGACAATTTGAGTTAACAAATCCAAATATTTTTCTATCGTCAAAGTTTCATCAACAAAGAATGGCCTAAAATGTGATTATTGATAATACTCGCCTAAATACTCAGTTTCTGCTGTAGCTGAGTGCGAGCTTCCATCATCCAGGGGGATCCACTAATGGCAGTTATGTTTATTAACTGATCTACTTAGTATAAAAGCGCCGTCGTCTGAAAATATTTTTTTATTTACAAAATATTGATTCTGTTGGCAGATATCCCCATAATTTCACAAAATTGCAATAAATTTGCGGCATTGAGGTGTATATGTACTAAACATTTAGGGTACAAAAATTGTCACAGTCTGTGATAATAAACACCTTGAATGATATTATATTAATTATATTTACCTGTAATCTCGTTCCCGTTGTCTTTATTAAACTTATTCTACAATGAAGATAACTCGTTATTAAATAATTATTTAGTTATTATATTTGGTAGAATTTAATTATATCCGGGAAAGGTCGTGTGTCATATGCGGTTTTCTCGACTTCAAAATCATGCACGTCACATACAGAGTTATAAATGTAACATTGTATTGGATTAACTGTATATAGTATGTAATTACTTATATATTATTTTTGATAAATTACCACGTGTCAGAAGTGGTACAATATATTAGTTTCATAAAGAGATACACATAGGTGTTATTTATAGATTGAGGAAATAAAAATAATAAACTGCTTCCCAGTTACTATCAACTAATAAACTTTCAGTTAACGAGATAATTGATTTCGTTATGATTTTAAGGCTGTCCTTCAAAATATTCTTCGTCTGCGTGCGTTACGTAAAGAATGAAATAATATTGTCACATGTAGTGGAATAACTAAGTAATTACTTGTGCAATACAAGCAACACACTTCCATCAGCGTCCACTGAATTTGCAGATTTGGAGAATGACAGATCGCGAAGATCTCAATGTCTCGGCTTTCAGGCAGGTTTGCTACAATTTGAATCATTGGAAATGATTGATTGAGTGAAAGATCTGAAATCTAGAATTTCAATGACAACTTTTTAAGAGTCCTTTAATACATTTAAATTGGAAGATATATATATATATATATATATATATATATATATATATATAGTGGTGAGAGGTATGAAACTTCTCATATGGTCTGAATGCTACTATCCGACCGACATCCTCGATGTCTCGTGGCGGATAGCGACTTGCATCACAGCAAGTACCGAGAGCGGCGACCCCTAGCCCAGGTGGACTAAACTAATGTGATTAAATATGATTTGAAGGAAACAACTACTCAGCGGGCAAATACCCCGACCTGCATTGAATTGAAGGTGTAATTCAATGCAGGTCGGGGTATTTGCCCGCTGAGTAGTTGTTTCCTTCAAATCATATTTATATCATATATATATCATATATATATATATATATATATATATATATATATATATATATATATATATATATATATATATATATATATATATATATATATATATATATATATATATATATATATATATATATATATATATATACTGGATATGGACAGACAATGTTGGAAAACATATATTTATATAGTTTTCGTCAATTTTCTATAGAGCACTGCAACTCTCAGTGCAAATATTTCAGATTAAAGGTTTTTTTCAGAAGGTTTTAATAGGAAACTTATTAACATGTTTACGTATAACTTTTATAGTATATGTTTAAAGAGTTATTTTATGGCGTGAGCATATGATTATGTATGGCGAATATATTCTTAATAGACAATATTAAAGATCAAAGTTAAAGAATTTTTTCCATTTTTTTATGTCCAAGTAATCATCTATCCTACATCTGGTTTAAATTTGGCATGTTCACGACCTCAAGTAGCATTTTATCTAGGATCAATCTAAATTTGGAAGTTCTAGTGTAACTGATATGGCAGATATGATTTTTTAAAAACACCGTTATTTTAAGTGTCCTGTAAATGGCTCTTAACACCGAAAGATTTAATGATGCAGTGCAATATCAGGAACATCGTTGTACAACTTCTAAAATATTGATGAATTATTATTGTAAAAGGGACACCCGACAATTAATTAGTCTGTATTCGAATTTTAACCTAACCAAAGTATACTATAACGATTTCAGGATGATTTCAGAAAATGACACGCAGTTTTTAGTAATAAGTGTCTATAGAAGACTCAACCGTATTATAAATATTGTACATGTTTTCTATAATATTGTCAAATAAAACACTTAATACTTTGTTTTGATGAAGATCATTTTGTCATTTTATTTATATAAATAATATCAGTTCACCAGATTTTATACACAAAGATAAAAAGGGTTCAATTTGAAGGATTTCAATTTACTGAATTCGAATCGGCAGCCAGAACAAAAATATCACATCACGTTTTTATTTATTAAAATTACAGTATGAAAAAGTTAAAAATGACATATTTTACTCTTTTTATAAGTGTTGGTGTCCGTTTCTTTCACGAAGGACCAATCGTAGTACCAGAACATATTTCCTTCCCAAAAAAACTTGATATCGTTGCTCAAAATATTTCAAATATTGATGAAAACGTTCACCATGTTCATCACTCATACTCTCCTAAATTCTCAGGAAAAAGATCAAGATGGGAATGTAAGAAATGAATTTTCAGCGACACCTTGCCTCCTATTTTATGGTAGTTAACCAATAAATCAGAAACGATTTATTTATAGTTCTCATGTTTTTCATTTTCTAAGAATTCCTGAAAAGTCACAGAAATCTCCTTATATATGGACTTACAAATATACTTTCCTTGACCTTGGCTTTGGATAGAGTGAAAAAAAAATTATAATTATATTTTAATGCCGCTCCTGCTTTGTCTATTGCCCTTACAAAATTTTTCGTAGGCACCAATTTGTTATGAAGTGGAGACAAAATGTTTTTAGGGTCAGTTAAAGAGATGTTCTGAACGTTCGTTTTGCCACGGGTATATTCAATTCTGACAGGCCAGTTTTTATAAACTAATATCATTAACAACTACGATCATTTTGTCATTTTAGAATAACTAATAATGTAGGTAATATTATTAATTATTCTAAATATTAAGTCGTCAGTATAGAAGCTTCCCCGACGGTAAGAAATCAGTGAGGTCATTATTGATTAACGGCAATAATAAAGGCCTCAGGTTTGATCCTTGGGGTACACTGTAGGTGGCCAAGTACAGATATAATTTATAGATTTGTAAAACTAATATCGAGTTCTTCCACTAAGCTGGAAGAAAAAAACGAGTGATTCACTGTCACCAAAGTTTTCATAAAATTAAATGTGGTCAGAAGAATCAGTTGCTTATATTATACATAGATTAAATATACATAGATAATTACTTCTTATGTAAATATTTACCGCTCTAAAATCTGGACGTCAAAATTTGCATATCATCTCGAGCAACGCCTGTTTAGGATATTGTTAATTTTGAAATAGTAAATGTGTACAAATGATCCATATTAACGTATTTACAGTTTCGAAACCAACAAGATCTTTTATAGGCATTGCTCACAACGATATGAACATTTTTACGTCCAGATTTTGGGGTGGTAAATATTTACATAAGGAGTAACTATCTATCACGTGTCCTTATGTGTCTAACTCGTTAGAAATAAGCCACGTTAAAGCTACCACATTAGAAACGATCAAACGTTTTCCCATAAATCAAAGTTGAAGAATAAAATTTTAATTAAATTAAATTAAACACTATAAATAATACAACCCCTATATGCCTAAAGGTACCTCGCAGTACCTTGTCTGAGAGACAATGGACATATATCCAGTATCTGAATATTCTAGAATTAATTTCTGCTTTAGAAAAATTCCCAGCTCCTCAACTAGGGATTGAACCCCCCGGACTCCAGAGTGAAAGGCAAGTGTCTTTATCGCTCAACCATGACGCCACTAATGGAGGGGTACATGTGATTACATATAGTTATTTTAACAGACAGACTGAAAAATGAGACAAATTATTTGTAGTTCTATTATAGTTGGCAATATCTGAAAAGTCGAAATATAACCTAACAATCTTTCAACATTTAGAAAAGTTTGAAATATTGATAACAAGATTGAAAATATTGAATACTAGTTTAGTGAATATATTAGAGTAGTCACGGAGCTATTTTTATGTTTGTTAAGGGATTCTTTTTGTTTTATTTCATTGATATTCCGTGCTTTTACCTCAAAACACTACGTGGGAAAGTTGCTAAATGGGCAATGGTTAGCGTGTCTGGAAATCACAGGAGCAATGAGAACCTGTCCAGCAACAGCAATGGAAGCCTTACTTGATGTGGCTTCGTGGTCAAGTGGTAAAGACACGTACCTCTCACCCTGGAGTCCCGGGTTCGATCCCCAGTCGAAGAGTTAGGATTTCTTCTAAACCAAAAATGAATCCAGCATACTCAGACACTTGATGTGTGTCCATTGTCTCTAAATGTGTAGCCCTCTCCCGCATAAGGTACCTTGAAGTATAATCAGGGATACAGGTCATTGTTTTATTTGTGGTGCTTAATTTAATTTAATCTGATTCCTTTACATATGCATATAAAGAAAGAAGTGATCCTCAGTACTCAAAGACTGCAATCCAGAATATTCAGACCAGGAGACCTGGTTGGACATCTGAGAATTCTCAGATCAATCTCAAATCAATTTCATTTAGTCTCAATGATCTAATCTCCTGGCACAATGCTAGTGAGACTCGAATTTGAGCGTATATATTTGAGGTGGTAATAAATTGATCGTTAAATATGGAGCTCTAGAGGAGCCAAATTTGAAAATGGGTCTCTTCTTTGGTATTTAGATGGATCACAGATGGAGGGAGGATGAGGGGTAGGAATATATGGATAAGGCTATCAAAAGCCTTATAGTCCAAACTCCCACCATCTTTCTAGCGCAAATTCACGCCATAGAAATCTGCGCTCGAGAGCAAACATCTTTATCTTCTCAGACAGCCAAAGTAGCACTTGGAGCTTTAAGTTACTTTACCTGTAAGTCTAACATTGTCTGGGAATATTTACAGACAGTAAAGCATTGGCAAGGAACAACAAGGTTACCTTGATCTGAAGAAGTCAGAAAACTGGAAAAGGAACATAAATCCTCCTACTGGAAGTTAACTCCAGGTCAAAGAAAAGCAAAGAAGTTTATAAACTACTCGCAAAAAGAGCCAGAAAGCTTCTCGAACTCAGCAAACCAGAGTTAAGGATACTAACAGGCCTTCTGACAGGTCATTGCCCACTGAAATACCATCAAAAATGGGCAAAGCTGAAAGCGATGTATGTCACTTCTGTACACATGAAGCGGAAACTGCGCAGCATATACTTTGCTCGTGCAAACTCCTAATCCGTCAAATGCTATAAGACTTGGAGCGAGTATCCATAACACTTGCCAAAGTGGGAATCATAGCCCTTAGGAATGTTTTAGGTTTCTTCAAAAGCTTAGAAATTGATGGATACACATAGATATGAGGATTATCACAAAAGATCTTTTTAGATCACAGTGATGGGAGGCCACTTACTAGGGCCTTAACGATCCACTCGCAATCTAATCTAATCTAGGGAAGCGTTTGGTCAAGCTAGTGCTGATATTAAATGTGACTGGAATTAGCCACAGAGCATGTCGTCCATGCCCTACTCTGTAGTTCGAATTTATGAGTTCGAATGACGCTGCTTCCTTATGTAGTGTAGGAATATGAAAACACGGTGTATGATTTACATATATCTAAAACATTTTTATTATTAAAGACAGAATATATTTCACATTTTTACATTTTTACAATCTCATTTCAATTGACCTGAATGTTATTGACATCAAAAACATTTGCCAAATATTACGGATAACGTCAGAGATGGAATACAAAAATATCTCATTAGCTCGTATATTATTTGCAAATGGTTTTAAAGTGAAACAAACATTATACTGTTTTCTATCATTACAGGTGTGTTATGTCTATGAAGAAGCTTGCAATACTATCTGCCATACATAACGATGGTCGGCTAAACATCACGGAAATGCACCCCACACCTGGGTCACCCCCGCTCCGGTGCACGGGGTTAACATTATGTTGGGAGGGTAAGTATATCTTTACAGAATACTTTGTTCATTTCAATCATTACACTCATTTCTTCATTCTCGAATAAGTTATTGTGTCGAGTTTTGCTTCTAGCTTACTACAATCAAAATTCGACACAATAATTCACGCGCAGAAGTTATACACACATACATGCATACAACATAAAAGTTCTAAAAGTTAATAAAGTATTAAGAAAAATGGCACTAATATATTTCGTTGAAATTGCTACTGTATGAAGGTATCACATCCATATAATGCACGTAGGATGTTTGAGAGCGATAATTTTAATTATTCCAGATACAAAAAATAAAAATCGAAGACAAATTGTAAGGAAAGTTTCGTTTTGCCAGTTATATTATATTATTATGATTATGTAAGGAATAGGACGATAATTTAGTGTTTTGTTAAGATATAAAAGATATTTGGCAGTTATGCTAAGTAATTATAGTAAAAGAATTATCACAGTTGTGTAGGATTGCACCGCCGAGTATATGCATAGTTCTTTTTATTCATCATACGTCACTATGAGTAATAACTAAAGCTGCAAATCGTTTCTGTGTATCATGTTCGTATAGTACAGATGTTCTTACTGTCGCCGGCATTCACCTTGACCGCGAAACTCTTTCTCCAGTCCAGTCTATTATTAGCTTTCCAGTTGTGTACACGTTAAGTCACTTGGGCGTATTGCAAATTGTTTTTGTGTTTCTATTTTATTTGTTGTACTGTATTGTTGATATTAATTTAATAATAAAGCATGGCAGACGTACGCAGGGGTAGAAACGGCCAAAGTGAATAAATTCATAGGTGAATTTCCGGATTTATTCTATGATGGTGCTAAAATAATTTGTAAAGTGTGCGAGAAAGATTTGATGTGCTGGGATAAGCGTGATTGTAGATTTCACGTAAATAGTGTACACCATAAAAATAAAAAAAAATGGCGTGTCTTCGATAACACAGTCTATGTTTGATTTACTATTAATGCTGATTGCCTGTGATGTTCCGCTGCACATACTCGATAAACAACCATTTCGAGAGTGCTGAAATAAATACAATGCCCAGGTGAAGTTAGCAAGTCGCACAACGTTATGTAACTATCTACCAACTGTACACGTAGACATGGTAAATAAGATGAAATGTGAATTAAAAAATACACGGCTGTGATTATCTGTTGATGAGACAACAGATTGTAAAAAAAATTCTATTTTAAATGTTATAGTACGAGTACTGGACCCTCTTAAACCGACAGTTCCACTGTTACTAGCTAGCAAAAGACTAAGTCAGTGTACTAGCGAAACAATTACCAGGGTGGTGCTGGAGACGTTAGAAAAATTTGAACTGTCAAAAAGTCAAGTGTTGATGTTTGTGACTGATGGCGCCGTGACAATGCGTTCGGTGGGCCGTTCTTTGCAAGAACAAGTTTGTCCAGAGGTGGATGCATTAATAGCAAGTACAAAAAAAGTGTTTCTTAAATCTCCTAAACGTCTCCGTGCATTTCATAGCAAGTGTCCCGGTATTCCTGAACCACCACAGCCGATTCTTACAAGTTGGGGAACATGGTTGCAGGCAGCTTTTTATTATGCTGAATATTTCCAACAAATAAAAGCTGTGATACTACAATTCAATCCAGATGAGGCTGCAGCTATTAAGGAAAGCCAGACAAAATTCGAAGATATTTTCGTTGAAACAACTTTAAAAAATATTGCGAAGAACTATAAACCATTACATGAGAGCATAAAAAGATTAGAAAACAGTGCGTTGGCATTAGCGTGGGAGTCCCTGCAAATAGTGGACGAAGTGAATCTACTACTACACGATATAGGTGACGCAACAAATGAGCGCGTTAAAGAAAAGTTCGCAAATGTGTTAAATAAAGACACCGGTTTTACCAAATTAAGACAAATATGTGATGGTGCAGCCCCAGATCCGTTAAGTGCGTTTAAAGATTATTTTACGTATGAGTGTATTACATCAGTAGATGTCGAACGGTCGTTTTCAAAATATGAGAATATATTTTCACCAAAGCGAACATCACTCATGGAGACAACTATAGAAACATACCTGATGCTGCAAAATGGCTACACATCCTCTCCAGTTTGTGATAAGCAAGCTAGTTCATCAAGCTAGTTAAGAGGGTAAGTTTTACATACATTGTTATAAATTGTGACAGTTTATTGTTTCTCGTATTAGTTAATTTCGCGTACGCCACTGTCCCATGGAATATTTTTGACAGCCCTAGTAATAACCGTCATTTTACAATTTATCTTTTGTATTGTGTAAAGATTTTTACAGGAAGAATATGATATAATTTAGACACAGTTGTGCTTAGACCTTTGCAAGGTTCAATTTGGCCTGGATTGCCGGTTATGTTTATATTTGATTTTGCTTGGTTTGCCGGCAACTGTTTTTATTTAATTTGGCCTGATTTGCCGGAACTTATTTGTATTCAACTTTACATAGTTTGCCAGCGCACATTTGTGCTTGGTTTAGTTTGGTTTGCCGGTTATTGCTTCCATGTCATTTTTCTGTCGTAACTAAAAGAAATCCTCTTTATTTAACTAATGCTGAATATAATGATTTGAAATATTATTGTTAAGAATAAATTATCACAGTTGTGATTAAATGTTGCTATATGAGAAAAAAAAAATTAAACCTTACAAAATTAAAAATTGAACACCCCACAACTCGGAATTGGTAATTTAACTAAAAATGTTTATCAAAAAAAAAAAAAAATCTGTATCATGTGGTCTACTTACTATTTTTATTTATACCTTATAAATGGCTCATCCTGTATATTGATTAATTGTTACAAAGCGTCGTTATTATTTGTATAATTTTCATTACTTATATTTCACAAAGGTTTTTAAGAATTTTACTTTAAGCTGGCATCAGTCAATATATGATTAATATAAATCTAGATGTGGAAATGAACAAAAAATGAAACGAAATTACACATACTAATAACATTTTGTAATATTTAATTCAAAACCTTTTTCCATTAACCTCACCGTTAATTAAGTTATTGTTATTGATAGTCTATTTTTGATATGAAATGAATTAACAGGTTTTTGTCAAATTTCAGTGCACCGTAATCATTTTATAATTCGATTATAACGCATTCACTTAATTGATTAAGAAGCATGGCATTGAGTTAATGACTTTTAAATGAAATTATAAATAAATAAATAAATTTTCAGATAATCAGATCAATCATTTCTAAGGAAAGTTTCCATTTTGCCAGTTATATTGTGTTGTAATTTTGATTATGTAAAATATAGGACAAGAATTTAGTATTTTCTTA